TTTTTATTTCAGGTGAGACTCTTGTAAATTCCTGATTAACTCATGTGTCAAGTGACAAGTTATTCAGAGATTCAGAAGGACTGAATAAATAGTGATTCAGATTTCAGTGGGTTGTTGGACACTGATACTTTATTTTATTACTTATGAGACAAACTGTGTCATGAAAATTCTGGGAAGCTGCATTTTTGTAGCTGCATTTTTCTGCAAGTGTTTGGAACCGGACAGTCCCAGAGCGCTTAGGTTCATATTTTAAAGGAGATGTGCTCTGATTTAACATTCAAATCATCCTCATATCATTTATGAGCTTATCTTTCTGAGTAACTTAACCAGCTGAAAGATTTGTGTGTGCAGCACGGGAGGCAGGTAGAGAGAGGTCTTGGATGGAAGATTAAGTGGAAGCTGGTGGTGATTACTAGAGTGAAGCAGAAGAACAAGAAGAGTAAAAGAAAAGGGTGAAGAGGTAAAAATCCTGAAGCTAGGATGATTTTCTGTCCGTGCGTGTGGCTGTGAGACGTGGCAGAATGAGGCCTGGCCAACCAGCAGATCTGTTCCATATGTTTCCTGGAGAGAGAGAGAGAGAGAGAGGGAGAGAGAGGGGCTGCTCCCCTCCACCCCACCCACAGCACAACAAGTCTTCATTTAAAAAGACAAACCAGTCAAACTAACTCAGGGTACTGTACTCCAGCTTGGTCCTATTTTCTGCGGACTGTAGGTATCAGTTCCAGGTGGAGGTAGAAATGATGAAGGCAGCTGGCAGGTGTAGAGTTTCTAAAAGTGTGCAGAGAGCTGGCTGCTGTTCAACACGGGCCTCCCACAGAGACAGAGAGCAAAGAAAACACACAGTTTGTCACATTTTCACATTGGCTCCATCACACTCACCGTGAGTGTGTTTGAATTGTTGCTGTCAGCGAGGCCGGAATGAGTAACTTCTGGTGTCGAGAGTCTTTGATCAGCAAAATCAGAGAGTCTTTGATCAGCATATTTTGAAGCAACTGCCAAATGTCCCAAGATAATGGCCGTTGAATTTGGCATTATTTCTGGATAATGTTTTAATTCAAATATGTTTCTCTCAGCCCATCGATTTATCTGACACCAATTCACGCCAAGCAACAACAGGAAATCACATTAAGGAAGCAGAGGTACCTTGTGTAGCTCGTAGTGATGAACGCACAGAGAATTATCCCCACTCTAATAACCTACTTTGTTTGTTGCCCTTTCCTCCACAAATGGCAAATAAGCAAACAAATAAAATAAGCTTCTAAACCTATATACATCACTTAATTTATTAGTCTAAATTGGACATTTAATTTACAAACCAATTAATACATCAGTGAAAACTTCTGCAGTGTACAAATACTGATCAAGTCTCCTGAACAATATATAGGTAGAATCTAAGACAGCCACTTTTTGGTTGCTCCCAAGTTAAAGCGTCCACCAAGATGATGGTCTTTAACTCTTTAGTGTATAGGGACATCTGCTGGTTGATAAGGGAATAGCTTCACTTACCAACTTGAGTATTAGTTTTGTTTTTTGTTGTAAAACAGTTTATGAATACAGTCCACGCTTTCTCTAATTTTGAGCAGGAGTCTGCGAATCTATTTGTACAATTCTGACATTTTAAACATTTCGGAAAAGGAATTTTTAATCCTTGGTATTCAACCATTAAGGTGAGTACTCTGTATGTTAAATCAAATCAAATTGATTATTGAGTCCCTCCTAGAGGACAAGAGGATATTTTGACAATAAGTTGAGACTTAAGTTGGGAGGTGTTCCAGGTTTATTTAAAGACAGACTAAATAAATATAGCACCATTTTGGAGGGCAGCACATTGGAATAAACAGGAACAAGTTTATGAGGAAGACGCTCTCAGACGATCATTACCTGCTTATAATTTCAACATCAACTGTGGTAGTAATTTGGTTGCTATAGGTTATTACAACAAACTGAATTCAAGGGCAAACTTTAGATTACAGATTATCCCCAGCCCTGCAGAGGAAACGTTTACATCAAGGACAATGTATAATTTCAGTTTCTAAATAAAGACAATACAGACATGCAATGAGATAATGAAAAACATGGAGAAAGACACAGGGCTTTAAAGTGACTTGTCACACTAAATAACACCAGAATCATTCACTGACTGTACAGGCATCTGCCAAAAGGAAAATATATTTTAGTTTAGGTCAAGAGGTGAATTTTTCGCTAATTTCATTGTCTCAACTTTAAAAGATGGTGACAATATAATACTCTATGTAAAGAATTGACAAAAGAGAGAAAATATATATTTAGTTTGTTGGTATGAAAAAAACTTAATTCTGTATACCTAGTTTTCTTTTCTTTTCTCTTTCATTGAAAAAGGCACTACTCAAGCTATTGGGTGGTGTTACTCAAAAGGACCAAGGGGAGGCGCTCAACCCCAAGTAATGTTTAGACAGCAAAAGTTGAGGGAGAAAAAGAAGCTGATTAATCACCTCCACCAAGGACCTTGTGATTTCACCCCTGTCCATTGTTTGTTTGTCTACAGGATTATGCACAACTACTGAACAGATTTCCACAAATCTTGGTGGAAGGATTCATGAAACTTTTTCATGAATCTGAACAAATCAGCACATATAGATTTTAAATCTTAATTATATATTTGGAGAACAGATATGAGTTTGTGCAATTTGACGCAGTTTCATTGAATTAAAGGGGACTGTTGGGTCTTGTTGGAGACATGCACTCTATCGAGTGCCAGTCTAGTATTTGTTATTATATCCATTATCAGCACCAACAGCGGACTAGAGTTTTGTTTTTATTTTTCTCCCACTGGCTGAAAACTTCAGCCAGCTGTCATCATGGACTTAAACACCTAAATGTACAGTTTTATCTATTTTTTTTTTTTTGATCTATCAAAATTATTTCCAGTTTCTTCCTTATACTGTAACAAGGATATTGGCAGTTCTCAATTTTCTATTTTCCGTAACTCCACATTTTCACTCTCTACTTCTTTCTGAAGTTTCCGAGCTGAACGCCCCTCCGTCCGGTCACACAGCGGAAGGTAGCCGGCTGGATGTCCCAGTACTTGACAGGGTTAGCAAACAGACTGATGCCTGTGTACAGGTTCTTCTTCACACTGGACATGATGGGACAGAAGTCGTTGACTCCCACACTGTTGATTTTGTTGCCATGGAGGAAAATCACCTGAACAGACAGAAAGGAATTGTTTTTAATCAGATATTTTTCAGCTTTTTTAGTGCACACACCATGACTGAGAGTTTTGTATTGCTGCTGCCTTAATGTGCATCAAGAACGGCAAGAAAACATAACATTTGGTTCTCTGTCTTCAACGTCTACATATAAGATTTAGAAGTTGATATTCCACCACTCGTCTATGATGATACACTCTGGGTCATGATAGGATAATGGATATAAGGAGCTGTCTGGGCTCAGTTTGAGAAACATTGAAAGGAGAACATGTGCGTCTTCACCGTGATAGGAACATTGATTGCACTTGAGTTAGTTCTTTCATGGTATCTTTTGGAGGTTTTCTTGGGTACCTAGTCTACAGCTGTGAAGAGACTGCAGGCAAATGCAGGACACACTTGAAGAATAACATCTTCAGTCTGGCATGATAATTCCACAGGATCCATTAGGAGGAGCTGCAGGACACGGTCAGGAGGAAGGAGAGGACGTCTGGGCTACTTGTCTTACTTAACCTGCTGCCACTGAAAAATGAATCTCTGTGACTCAAGTATAGATGTGTTTAGTCCAAAAAAAACCCCATCTACTTCTTTTTGATTTGTTGAAATATAAATATGAAAAGAAGACATTGTTTTTGCATACTTTGGTTCAGAGCTACTCATCAACCCACAACCACTGGTGACAGTTACTTGGTGGATATGAGAAGCCATGTCCTCATATGATGTTTAACATTGTGAGACCCAGCTGACTTTGTAAACGGCTCTATCTGTTTTGTGACTTACTGACATAGCTTAGCACCAGGAATTTTTACAGCGTCTGTGTCATGTACCTGGAGGTAGCGCAGGGAGCTGAGGCCTGGGGGCACCTTCTTCAGACGGTTGTTGTCTAGGTGGATCTCACGGATGTTTGGGATGCTGACAAAGCTGCCATTCTCTACAAACTTAATCTGGTTAAAACCAAGTCCTAGCCTGCAAAAGATAGTTAACAGGTGTCATTACTGATAAATAAGAAAGAAATTAAAGACGCACAACAGATTAAAAAAAATTAATAAATAAAGGTTCAGTGTGAAGAATTTAGTGACATCTGGTGGTGAAGTTGCATGTTGCAGCTGAAAGAGAACCTGTGGTAGCCCTCAGTTGTCAAAAGTTGTTCACCTCTGCAGGTTTTTATATCTGATGAAGTCTTCTACCTCCACCTTGGCGATCTTGTTGTAGTCCAGGCTCATCTCTGTGATAGACAACGGGAAGTCTAGAACAAACAATACAAACACAACCAGTGTAACGTGTCATTTATGCATACTTTAGTTTGAGAAGAAATCAAAGCATCATTTTAATACATATTAACAGTGCTTATGCCACATTTTAGTTGTACAGGTGAGGTCTAGTGTGGTAAGAGTAGTAACTGGGTGACTCCAGGAGAAAATCAAGTTAATAACACATGTTAAAATCAGGAGGAAGTGTCTCTTATTTACCTTTTGGTACAGCAGTTAGTTTGGCCTCTGCAACTCCGATATACAGAGTTGATAAGCCATTAAAAGCGCCAAGCTCCATCCCACTGTTGGCCAGTGGGTTGGCACCCAGCTCTGTTGGACAGGCACAACATATTTGGTTTGATTATTTGACATTATCTTTTCTTCATCCACATACGACGGTGAGCAACTGCTTGATGATGCCTGGGTTTGAGTGTAAACAAGTAGGACATAATATCGACATGAGCAAAAATCAAACTATGCCCTGAAATATTTAAACAGGAATGGAATATTCTGTTAGTGACTTGTGTAAATATCATAATCAGAATAGTGATTTAAGAATAAGGTCAATAATCAGTCAAATTCGTTGCTGCAGATGTTTTGTTGGCGAGGAACTAGAAAACATCTGTCCTTCGACAACACTGATTACTTCTAATCAGAAACACGGTGCTGAAACCAGGTCTCACCCAGCACATGGAGTTTCCTCAGGCCTTTAAATGCATCCTTCTGGATTCTGCTGATCTTGTTTTCGTGAAAGCGCAGCTCGATGACATTAGGAGGCAGGTTCGCAGGGATCTCAGTCAGCATGTTGTAGGAGAGATACAGCAGTCTGAGATGGTCCATGTTTCTGAATGCTTTGGGGTGAATCTTGGAGATCTTATTGTTGATGAGGAACAGGCCCTGTTGTGAGAGAAAGGAATCAAAGTAAAACAGAAAAAATGATTAAAGCAGAATTTTACTGCATCACCTGCAGCAGATGCTGCTGATGTTATCACGACTAGCTCAGTTAAATTGAACGGCACAGTTAAAGGTTCAGTTATTTAAACAACTGCTTTCAAGGTGAATAATAAACTTTCATGCTTGATATCCAACCTGTGCATGGCAACATAGAGAGGAAAAATAATTTGGCAACAAGAAAATACCTTGTCATTAATGATTGTGTTGTTTATAGCAGCTGAAATCTGCGTAATGTCAAGCAGGTTTTTCTTTCAAACATATTTTGTGTTTCTGGGGTGAGAATGAATTCCTTTTTATGTAACTCACTCTCATGCTCATTGGTTTTATTAGTAAAAAAACTGTCTGCAGATTCTCACAGTTTGTTGTGTTACAGTTATGAGTTTTAGGCCTTGATGTGGTTTCTTCCCAGCTGGATAAACAGCAGCTGGTTGAAAGACAAACCCTCCTCCACTCTTCAGCTGGAAGCTTCATACAAAGGAACTGTCTCAAAAGGCTGATGGACCTGTTTCCTCTTGTCTGGTACCTCAAAGACCTTTATGGGCATCAACATTCTCTTTTCTCTGGTATTTTTGAGCCTGAATAAACCTTTATTGTTGTTGTTGTAGGAAGTCATTGGCGAACACAGGATCAGACGTCTTCAATGAATGAATGCAGGCGAACAAATGTGTTGTGTTTAGCAAAATAGTGCAGATGCTGGAATTCAGTAACCACAGTCTTGGGATGATAACATGAAAGATTAACTCCTTCATCAGACATTCATGGTTAAATGACCAGTTCATCAGTAGGTTGACAAAGAGAAAGCACATGGTGGGTGCATGCTGGGAATGTTACTGGAACTTGTTTGCTCATGTTTTAATCAGATGCATTGATGTCATTCTTTACTTCCCTGATTTCAGCCATGTGCCTGTTTATTGTTAACATGAAGGGGTTGTGGTGTTTGTTACTATGTGCAATGTAAACCAGTTCCAAAGGTCTATGGAGGGTTTCTTACATAGAGTTTGTGGAGGCCCTTAAAATCATTCTCCTTGATCTCAGTAATATCATTGTTCTGAAGGTCGATCATCACAGTGTCTTCAGGGATCTTCTCAGGAATGGAGATCAGACCTGTTGGCAGAAATACAAATGTCTGATTAGAGACCGGATATATACAGGTGAATAAATATTTGTGGTTTGGTCTGGAATAATGATGTATCTGTGGTTTTCTAATTCATGGAACATGATCGAACATGATTAGTCAGTATCAAGGCCATGGATCTCTGTTGTCTCTGCACCATACTGTAGTTTAAGAAAGTCTGATTAAAAAGATTGGTGGGGTTTCAACTGAAATATTCATTGAATAAAAAAGACCCCAGGCTTTTTTTCATTACGTCGGTGGCTATGCAATGAGGAGTTCAGATATCCGGAGGGAGCTCGGAGTAGTACCGCTGTTCTTTCATGTCGAAAGGTGATAATTGAGTGGTTTGTGCATCTAGTCAGGATACCTCCAGGGCACCTTCCGTTTAAGGTTTACCAGGCAAGCCCAACTGGGCAGACACAAGACCAAGTACTCACTGAAGGGATTACATTTCCCATTTGGCCTGGGAAAACTTCAGGATACCCCAGGAAGAGCTGAAGAGAGGGATTCCTACCTGGCCAACTATACTTCCTGGACTCCAGGCCGCATAAATAGAAGACAATTAATTGTTTGATTGTTCTACTAATAAAGAAATACCATGTGCAGACCCAAACCAACAATGACTCGATCAACCCACAAGTATTGTCTAGGTGTCCAAAGTTTTTTTTATATCTGTGTGTAGCACCGTGGTGTTGTGGTTAGCACACAGCTATGTGGAGTTAGCGTGTTCTCTTCAGGTACTCAATTGACTATAGGATGGAATGTGAATAGCTGGTGGTCTCTGTATGTCAGTCCTGTGTAAAGTTCCTCTTGCCCAATGTTGGCTCCAGCTCCCCCCACGACCCTCATCCATCTATCTGTACTCATCTATCACTATCTGTGAATACTCAGGATGCATTTTTCTCTAGTTTCTCTGTGTTAAAGATCCAGAGTGAGTGTGTTCTCACCCTGGTCAGAGCACTGCATCACTCTGGGTGAACAATGGCAACTTGCAGGACAGTTCTCATCTTCATCATCTAAATCGTCTTTATCCTCTTCGTCACTATGGCCATCATCATCATCATCATCATCGTCGTCGCCGCCATCTGAATCAGCCATCATGATGTCATAGTTTTTCATGAAATCCATGATGTTGATTGGTTGATAGGGTTTGGCATTGCCTAACACCAGCAGGCACAGCAGGAGGAAGACCCTCATGGTTAGTGGTCAGTGAAACAGGACCAGAGGGAGCTGTAAGAGAAGACAGAAGTCAGGTGAGCCTTAAATTAACTGACAGAATTAGATGTCATGACATTGAGAAGCAGTGGAATCTTGTTTTTCTCTCTGTTTTATTCCAACATCAACAAAACAGAAAGACAGAGCCCTCTAGTTTACATAAGAAAATGATGAAGCCTGTGCAGGTTGACCACCTTTGATAAGTACTCTGTTTTTCTCCACATGGTTTTGAAATACATCAGCTACTCCCACACAATGTTTCAAAAGAGAACAAGGAAATAACAGTATCTGTTTTTCAGTTTTAGCTTCTTCAGTGTTGAGCACATGGTCTTGATAGGTTCTCAATTTGCGGTAAAGTGACAAGAACTAGTACCCATCCAAACTCCAGACCTGTTCTTAGGAGCCAAGTGGACCCATGAGGCCCGATTTATTGTGTCCTCATTTTTCCATGTCCAAAACAAAATCTCACAGTGAATGCAGCTAACATCTGCTACTGTTTGTTACAGGGACCCCTTGATGGGGTCACAAGAAAATCCTCTAATCAAAAGAGATCCAGACTGGAAAGAATAAAAACAGATAGATCTGCAACACAAAAAGGGATCGATTTATCTCCTGACAGTGATTATCACATGATCTAGTCATTGTGCCCTGTTGAGTTCAGTTTAAATTTTGCAGCCTGTTTTAGAAGTGTATAGAGAAAACAGTACATGTTGATGGGGCATGCTAAGTAGTTGGAGCTATAAGTTTCAGTAAGTGCTGCTCTTTTTTTTCTATCGGTGTTTCCATGAAGCTCTATAAACATCTATTGGAAATGAGTTCTTGTAGCCAACAAAAATGTTTTGCCAGCTCTCACCTATTCACCATCTGCACTGATTCAGAAAATGATACATATCTTCCTGTATTACACATTCATGCAGCTTTCCGAGCGAGGCCGACGTCGTCTGGTTTGCTTGACTCTGGTAATCTTGATGTAGTCTGAGCCCTTAAGTTAAGCGTTCGCTGCACCCACAAGTATGTGGTGGTGGTGGTTGAGGATCCTGCTGCGACAGCAAATACTGCTCAGCACAGACCCTTCCTCTGAACCCTCTGTCTTTAACTCCACATGTGCATATTTAGCACAAAATAGGCGAAATAATATGGAGTAAGAAGTAAATCTCACTCCAGTTACATTAGTGCAGGTAAATTGTATTTCTTCAGAGGTCTGCATTCCATAAAACATCAAAATCAGAGAAAGTGATTTCTATCTGATCCATCAGGATTCACATACAGGTCCACTTATGAATGCAATGATTATTTTCAATATCAATCTCAATATCATCTATATGTCTAGTCTTTGATAGTGAAAAATCTGGTTTCAAATTGATCAAAGATGACATCTTCAGATGTCTTGACTAAATGTCCAAAACCTAAATATCTTCTGTTTACAAAAAGCAAAACAGAAAATCCTCTCATCAGAGGAGCTGGAACTCGATGATATATTTCACATGTCGATAATTGTTGCTTCAGAAGTAGTCATAAGGGGAAGATTTCCCTCTGGGATGCCTCCTGCCTCCACTAGGACTTCCATACAGTTCCATCTTCAGATGTCTCATTGTTTCTGACCACAACTCCAAAACCTAAATATCTTCAGTCTATAATATAAAGTAAAGAAAAACATGTGGAGGAGCAGGAACCAGAAAATATTTATTATTTATTACATTTTGATAACTTTTGCTTTGGTGTATTCATGTCATTAAATGACAATAGACAATTCATTTGAGAACAATTAAGCTGTAGATCTTTCTCCACTTATCTTGATATCAGTGAATAGTTTCAGTACTCATAGCAGATGTGTCTGCTTTGTACTTGAAATGATTCAGGTGATTCAGATAGTTTCCCTCATGTGTTTGTACTTAAGACATAATGACTATGCCTGTACTCCATGGAAAATTACTTTGCATTTTTCTGTAATGACAACACCTTTTATCAAGACTCCAAGAAAATAATGCACCATTGACTGCACAATTCAATATAAGATCCATCACCAGTCATCATCAAAGTCAGATTTTGTCCTTTATGTTGACATTGAAACATGATCCATACACTGGTGATCATTCTTGTATTGATCTTATTAAAATAAGAGATTTACATGCAAATCAAACTCACATAAACCCAACTTTTTCCTCCAATATAAGATTTTAAAATTACAATCTAACTTCTGCACAACCTTTAAGGTACCAGCAGAAACTTACCTTTACACCTCAAATATGCTGCATTCTTAGAAAATTAAACAAGCCAGACCGACCAGATAATAATGTGTAGAGCAGCGTTAGTTGTTTTGGTAATAAATCCAGGGTGTGTCCTACCTCAGCCGTCAGGTGTGTTTGTGTCCTGGTTTAAACCCGCGCAGTGAGCAGAGCAGCGGCAGGCTCCAGCTGGAAGGCTGAGAGTTGGATCCTCAGTCAATACATTTCCAGTGAACAGAGAACAGCATCACTCTCTCTCCAGAAACAGCCCCCAAACACCCCCACCGACGGAAAACCTCTGCTGTGGGGGTGAGAGGTTCAGTTTCAGCAAAGAGCTCTTGACTCTGTGAGATCAAACCATCTGTACGTCTCTGTAGGGACTCAATTTGAAAAGGCATTGTTGGGACTTAACTCATGTGCTTTTCATCAGGAGCTTTGAAGTGATGCCAGGATAGTTAACTTCAGACTCCTAAGTTTTTATATAGAACATGCTGGTAGGTCTGTCACCTCCATTGCTTTCTTGACCTGTTGCCAAATTAAATATTTTACATCAGCATGAATGGTTCTTACAGTGAGGCCTGATGGCACTGGGTTAAACAAGACAAGTGGGACTGCACAGCTGCTGTAAACGTTGGGATTTTCTCAGTGAAACCAGTCAGAAGGTGGAGGTGGGCTGGCACGGCCAGGTGGTGCAAAATGTCATATTTTTCTTCGAGGGAGTCTTTAATGTGGCTGCATTATAGAAACTGACATCCCTGTACAAAGAGCTGAGGCTGCCATATTGACATACGTAATAGATATACATCTGTAAAAGAGGAGGATGCTTGAGATGTAGGGATGCTTGTCATCAAGTAATAAAAGATCAGAGTCTTCCTTAAATTATTATTCAAAAATATACCTTGAGTTGAAATGAGAGGATGAAAAGACCCTGTAAACTGTCCCTCCACAACTTTACAAGTTCATCCTTATTTTTAACTATTGACCAACCAAAATCAACACCTCCCTCTCAAACTCGCTGGATAAAAGAGATTATTTATGGATGGATTCATGCCAACTTTATGGAAGAAAGTAGAAATATTCCGAAAATCTTTCTTACTCTTATTCCTAGTTGATCACTTTTCCTCTGTTCTTTAACAGCAACAGCTCTGTCTTTCTAGACCAGATGCTGAACACAGTATCACACAGCACTGAGGATCTCTTGTAATGACTAAATCAACCATAAAGAAAACTGACCCTATGATGGAATGACTAAAAGACACATCACTTTACAAGATGAATTTGTAGACAATAAAATAAAGCTGAACTGGAAACAACTGGCATAGTCTCACGCCACAGGAAAATGTGATGAATGATTTGTTAAGACAGATGATTCTTTAGAGGTTAAGTCATACTGACTTAAGGTGGTACAAAGATGCCAGTACAGTCAGTGAGAACTGCCAGCTTTCTCTGCGTTACTATAGATTTCCTCCTTAACACCAAAGCACAGACGGACAATAAGCGGAGGAGACGTTTTGCAATGTCAAATCAACGTTATTTACTTTGTGTTGATGAGTCTTAACAAGGCAACAGGGAAACCCGAAGCTTTACTTTAAATGCACAGATGAGAAATACCTCCCAAGAATCGAAAAGCTAACAGGAGTCTGCTCCCTCAGGGGTTCATGTGTTAAATGATTATTTTTTCCATTCGCTGCTGGTGTTTTCTGCTGAGCTGAGCTGGAAAGGCAGAGTGAGGCAACTTATGGTGAAGCCAGACCAGCCAACTATGCCCTGGTTTGGCAAGTCAGGTCAACTGAAATCGTAGCGGGTCTTTTTTTTTTTTTCTGGTTTCAGTGGATCTTCACTGTTTGGAAATCATATTTTCCAAACCCATCACAGATCTGGTGAAATTATTATTTCATCAACATGGAGCCTGTCGAGTCCTCTCGTGTGTCATGTTCAAAATATTCTTTGAAGGAAATTCCTAAACTTAAAAGAATTAAAGAAAATGTTAATCCAGTTCCCAACTCCCCCCAGAACACTGAAATTCACAATAAAATATTTAAAACAGATTGAATTACATTATATTACACACAACTGTTGTAAAACTGACAAATTGTCCCAGATAATTTCCTTTAAGCTTCATTTTTAACAATTTGTGCAAAAACTGCGATTGAAATTCAATTTGTAATTTCCTGTTTCTGTTACTTTTAGCCCCGATGCTGAACCGTAGAGATTTCCTGTTGTTACCTCAGAAGGCTTGTACTCTTCTTAACTTTTGCTCATCTCCTCGTCAGGCTGACTGTTCCTCTTTATCCTCTGAGCACAGTTCTGCTGATAAAGCTATTCTTGTTTATAGTTTGTCAAAAATGAAAAATTGTGATGTGTAACAGGGTGTCTTGAGGTTTAACATGAGCGTGTAATCAAAAGGTCCCTGGTTTGACTCTAGCTGGGGAGTCTTCTTGTCTTTAATCTCAACTCCTTCCTTAACTTCCTGTCTCCTCAGATCAAATAGACGGTAATGCCTAAACTTTTCTCAACAATACTTTTAAAAAGTGTTAAGATGTGGAAAGCACTATTTCTGCTTAAAACCCACTTACACAGTTGTTACGAAGATTCTGACGTTTACCAATCCTTTCTTATCCGGGATTTGTTCTTATATAAGAACAGAATCTAATGGCAGGACGTTAACCTATGCTAATTACGAACTTACAACGACATGGCATTCATCAATATAAGAACACAGATGCAAACAATTCTGCAGTGTACGTGCCATGAATCTGATGTAGACTTTGCTTAGGAATCTTCTTAAGAACAAATTTAAGAAAATTCTTAAGAAGATATCGGTGAATCACTCGCTGTGAACTTTACAGAAATGTTTGTAATCTGGTAAAGGTTCAACCGGACAATTTACAGTCTTTTAACCAGGGGACTGGCTGGGAAAGTTTTAGAAAATGTCCGGAGCAACTGACTCGGACATTTGTATTCTCACATACAGTGCCTCTGGAAATGCTCTGAAATCAGACTCCTGTCTGGAAGCTTTTGCAGCTGGATACAGAGCCACAGACAGTGGTCACTGTACAATGCAAAATGAAATACAGCTCGGACAAAAAGCATCAACAATTCATTATTAAAACATCAGAACATTTTTGAGGTTCCTGGTTGAGAGGGAGCTGCTTGATCACCATGGGAGAATTTCACATGTAAATGTTGTTTGCTGTTCAATCACAGCTCAAGTTAAACAAGCACTTAGCTGTTCGTGAATTTCAGCAGTGAGATGAGCTGATAATGTGTTTCATGCTCTCAAACTCACTCATGACTGTTTTAAAGTCTTAAACTACTATGTGATATGTAAGCGGCCCACATTTATATGATTCCCATGTTAAAACCTCAGGCACAGTTCCCAATTCCTCATAATCACAGCTCCATAACTGTGAGCTGAAACAATACTGTGTCATGAGCCAGATTTTAAGATTAAAGAACCATTTCCCCTAACATTGAAGGGATCTGATTGAACCCTGATGTAACTCTGAGGCCCTTGAGCTCTGTGTGCACTTGGAGTATCCAACTATTTGCCGTAGACTTTTCTCAGGAATCTTCTTAAGAAAAAAATTAAGACAATTCTTAAGAAGATATTGGTGATTCCCTCGCTGTGAACTTTACAGAAATGTGTGTAATCTGGTAAAGGTTCAACCGGACAATTTACAGTCATTTTAACCAGGTGACTGGCTGGGAAAGTTTTAGAAAATGTCCGAAGTACAAAACATCTTTCAAAACCTTTGAACTGGAGTTTTTAAGTGGGACATCCATCCCGTCATCATCTTCTCGTGAGGGGGATCTTTCATGAAAATCTCATATTTCTCAGCTGCCTGCTCCGCCGCAGAAATGTTTAATTCCAAAGCTTTAAAAGTCAAAAGAAGGAAATTGGTTTGTGGTGGCGAATAATATATGGCAGCGTTGTTGGAATTACAGTATTCAAACTACAAATTAAATGTTTGAGATTACTTCCTGATGTGAGATGGTCTGCGCTCCTGATGGGAGGCGGTCAGGACGCCCCTCCGTTCTCTGGATCTCATACTTTCCGACCCAACAGACGTCTGTGACAGCTCTGGACTGCATGGCAGAGTTTCCTCCGTCAGAGCCTTTAGAGCTGAGTCACTGGGGCAACTCGCAGGGCAAGGTCTTACCTCAGTGTTGTTGTTACTGTAGTACCCAAAGAACGTTTTGGTGCCAGGAAACTTTTAATAGCGCTGCGACCTTGGAACTCAGTGTGTTACCTGCTGCTCAGTGTTTCCCAGCCAGGCTGCACAACAGACCAGTGTTCAACATCCTCAGACTTCAGTGACAAATGTGATAGTATAATACTAAGATAATACTAATGAGCAAAATAAATAGAATCTTGGATGAGTCGTGAGTACAACGAAATAAATCTGTGTCCTTTTGCTTTTCTAACCATCTGGCTCTGGGAATTAGCGTTAAACACGTATATGCAAACACTAGTTATCACTAATTTCTACACACTGTACCTTTAAATGAAGCAATATCTATTACGTGCACTTGTTAGTATGTCTATAGGTTATATACATTTTATTAGAATAAACTTTAGGGGGCTGCAAAAATATCCAATAAAAAAAAAGTTTTTCTGCTTTTATATCATGTAAATCATCTCCTGAACAGAAAATGCTACTGTGCCCGATAAATCGTCTCCTGAGAACATAAAAGTGAGTTTTAAGCTCTGTGTCCTCACCCTGACAAACACTGGTGAGATCATGTAACTACTGAGTCTAAGATCGTTCCTTTGTGTCTGATCTGTGACACTGATCAACACAGCAGCTGTTCACCTTGGCAAGAGAAGCGAATTCTCTCTTTTCTGCAGGAAAACTTTGATCTTTGAAGTTTTCCAGCTGAGACGGCGACTGCCAGCATCTAGCAAATTAGCAATTGTTGCTATTATTGTTTTTCTACTTTTAGATTTATTTTTGTCTACTTATAATAACCTTATATTTCCAATTTGACTTACCGTCGAAGAGGCTGTGGTTTTTGTCCTCTTCACATTTTCGCTTTACTGTTCCAGTAGTCATTTCAATCTGTCTGCTACTGGAGAAAATGATCCTAAACCTCAGACTTTCAGAGGAAAATATTATGATCAAGTTGGCTTTCCTGTTCTGATAATTACAGCTCTCAGAGAATGTGTAATGCATGAAGGCAGAAGACATGTGAGGCAAAGATCGTGGCATTTTATCATAACTTTCCCTTTAGTCATCATGGCTTCACCTCATGCCAGAGGACTGAGGTGTTGATTTGGTAACATGAAAATAAATATAATGCACTCTTCAGTGGGCTGGGTGTGTTGACAGTGAAGAGATTCAGGGATTCTACAGGCATATAATCTAATCCCTTGTTTGGAGAAATGTGACTCATGCACCTCACAGGCTGAATATTTGCATCAATTGTCTAATCCTAAAAAAATCCTCAAGGTGTTCTGCACTCCTCCAGATGGGAACAAGAGTCTTATGTAACCTGCTTCCAGACTTCTGAATCATCACTGGGGTCTGTTTCTTTTAGTTATTCAAATACTTTTGTTGTTGTTCTCGTTCACAGCAGTTCCCAGACTATGAGACCATAGTTTATGATGAGATTCACTGAAACGTGCATTTTCTATTAGAAACATTTGAACAAATATCAGTGTGACAAGAACGACCTAAAATGACAGAAAGCATCTTTAATTTGGCTCCAGTTTTGGAGAGCTGTCAGTGTCTGTGGTTTTTATTCACATGTTTTTGAGAATCAGGCAGTTCTGGTACATTGTGATGTTTATTGTACATTATAACATTGTTGAAACTGTTATAAATGATCATTGACATTTCACAAAGGTTGTTGTAATTAAGACATGTTGGCCAAGAGCATGGGGAAGGGCATATCATTGAAACAGTTGTGCTTTTTGTAATAATTCAAAACATATTTACGCAAAGCAAAGTTAGGACCATAAGAGAATTTAAACCACATCTGCCCTGCACACACATTAAGGATTTACTCTTTTATTCACTGTCAAAGCTCTCGTCTTCTTGTTACTACACTGCAGCTCAGTTACAAAGGTTCATGTTTGAAGGATGAACATCGAGCTATGGTATGTTATAGTTAAAGTATGGTTCAACCACCCAGGAGATTCTTGTGTTTCTGTGCTGAGGAACACTGAAAATAAAAACCCTGAAGTGGAAACTTTACAGTGAGGTAAAGCCCTCTGGAACCAGTGGTCCCCCCACAGCTCAACTCTTTTCTGAGTTCTTACAGACAACTGAAGGTCAAAGGCGTTTGATTGATTGTCTCTTCAGAGCACATAATCCACACTAAGCTCTAGAGCAAAGCTCTGCTCATCACGACATTCAACACAAGATGAAACCACGTGATTCCAACACCAAGACGTGTTTGAAAACGTTTCTGTGTAAAGGGAGGTCCTGGTGTCAGGAAGACAGTTTGGAGCTGATGGGTATTTGAGTTATATTCAGCCCTGAAACTGTTATTTAGTGTAGTTAGGTTTTATTTATTATGTGACTATGTAGTGTGAATTAATGTTAATTTTAACATTTATGAAGAGTTTTCCCTATATAGAAATGTGTATATTTTAGTTAAGTATACTTTCAACAGTTCCAATTTGCATTAGTAATAAAAACCTGTTCTCATCATCTGCAGTCTGCAGTTTAGGAGCAGGTACTGATTTAGTACTGGTATCAGAAACTCAAACAATACTCTACTGTCCTTGAGTAAAGACAAGGCCAAACAGAGGATGTATAACAGACTGAAATGAAACAGCTGTTGCTGGGTATATACTTAAAGCACAAAATGGCCAAATTACAGACAATATATGCATTTGGTATTGCAGCGTGCCGTCAACATGTGAAATCTGAAGCTAAACTATTAATTAAAACCTACAACATATGGAAACTCCCAATAAATTCCATGTCTTCATCCGTCAGATTATCTCTCCAGCAGCGCTCACTTGAACTTAATCCTTCAAACTTCTCTGAATCATAAACACTATGAGCCTGAAGGATGTGTCACACATGCAGTTTTACTACTCACTCTGTAGCAGAGACATGGAACATGAAGGTGCTGAGGTTGTTAAAAATAATGTGTTGGGGTTGTGGGATAACTTCATAGAATTCTTTCCATTTCTTTATTAGCATTTTCATTTTACTGTGTATGGCGCAGGGATTCTTTCCATTTTAGAGAGTTTCACATTCAACAAAAGGAGACAGATGTGTTTTAAGTCAGACCATGTTCTGTCACCTTCCTTCATTTAAGTTGGTTCAGGTGAAAACTTACCAGACCCGAAAAACATTTGAGAGCCAGACGAGAAGAAAATCTTACTCTTATGCAGCTTGTTAGGATTTAGTCCAAGAAAAAGAGAGGACAATAGAGACAAGCCAAATTACAATAACATTTCCATGTTCAGTCTGTACATCAGACTTCAATGTGAGAGGCTTTTTGAGGGTCATTTTCTTATTATTCTTATTTCAGTAACATGCAGCAACTGTGGAAGCTAATGAAGGACATTTATCTTGGAATTTAACGTCCTAAAAATCCAATATATTCATCCCTTTGTTTCAGGGTTTACAAATAAATGTCTTTTAGTGTTTGGTTTTGTGTGGACTCCGGACGTCACTCTGCTGAGGCTTTAAGACCACACTTGAGGAGGCGCGTACACAGGAGAAGGCTGTCGGTGAGACATTCTGGGGGTCGATGTAGTTGTTTTCCAGCCTCAGTGCCACCAGAGTGGAGTCTCCGTTGTGGTTCGGGTCACAGATGCTTTCGTCAGGGATACTCCTTGAAGACAAAGTATTAAAAGGCTGTTAGATCTCTCATTAACAAAGATTTTCTGTATTGTTGATTAATCATTTGTTTGAATGCACCAATGTCGTTGTGTCTGATCATCAGTCCAAGACAAAACTATTTAATGCAAAAAGCAGTAAATCTTATCAAATCTCTGGAAAACACCACTCATTTGCAGATGATACACCATTCTATACCTCATGTTTGCTCTAGGACCACTGGTCTTCGTCTTAATTATGCTGCAACATGAGTATTTACTGATGCAAAAAGAAAGAGTTTGCATTGTTCCATAGCTGGTAATACTACTATGGGTAGTTGTGTCATTTTGGAATTGAATTTAAAGTTAAACCTTTTAATTTGGGGTAACCTACGGCGCTCTTAAGGGGACACATGGTGCAGGCTGATTCAAGTTTCCCACCTGGGGTGTCAGCCATGTTGGCAGTGGAGCTGGAGCACAGTACAGTGTCTCAGTAGTAATGTTACTTTATGTAAATACCACAACCTTATGTGCTGTGCATGGACCTGTGAGTTGGTGATGAGGTGATTCAGGGTGACTCCCAGACCCTTGTTTTGTTTCTTGTTGTCAAGGCGACTGTTGGTTGGTTGAATGTTGAGCTTTAATGTTGTCTGGCAGGCCGTGACGAATGAGTCGTTCAGGCTCTAATCTGTTTTTGAACTCTTTATTGTCTGTATTAAAGGATTGTATCGACTTAAAGGTTTACACTGTCTTTAGTCAACTGGTTTTATTGCTGTTTTGCTACTTTAATTGACCGTGAAGTCAATTTATCTTTAAAACTTGGGTCATATGTTTGTAGTTGGTGAATAATTGATACCAGAAAGTCCCAATGTTATTGCACAATATGTTCCCAACTCTCAGAAATGTACTTGGTCCAGTCAAATCACACTGTTTAATCAGAAGTCACGAATTTGAACTTTGCCTCAAGGTCTTTTAAATCCATATGGCACATGAAACAAGAATGTTTCCATAAGGGCCTGAAATGATAGTCTCCGAGCCTTATGATTAATGGGATTCCTTCAGGTATAGATACACTGTGAGGGGAGACGAGAGAGCACAGACCTAACACTGTACACTCAGATGGAGTCCAGTTCCTGAACAGGATATGTATTTTGGAAAGTGGATGGATGGATGAAAAATGCTTGTAACTGAGATCCTGGTATTTCTTTATAGTACCAAGAAGGAAAAACACCTGCATGAACCTGAATGTTTGAATATCTGTGTTCACTGAGAACTGAGACGCCTTCGTCAAAACATAATTAATGCTATTACTCAACTGTACGCTAACCCTGAAATTTCATAACTGTAGCTGTGGATGTTTCTTCCAGTTACTTGTCATGCTAAAATCTAATTTAACAATTCAGTGAAAGAACTCTGGATGACTAGATTTGTGGAAAACACATCTGTCAATAGAGACTTGTGTGCAGTCAGTCCAACAAACTGTCTTAATCTGACCTTAAGGCCGTCCTCCAAGATGCGAGAGCAGAGCAGCGTTCAACACACAGACATCATGTGCAGACGATCACCCTACAATTAAACGTCCAAGTACAGTTGCTCTGTCCGTCAAACCATGGAAACGTCTCAGAAACGTGGCTACGTTTGAAGGATTTTTGCTCCAGTGCCACACAGAATGAACTCAGGTCACCACTTAGACAATTATACACTCCTGTAAAACCACTCACACCTTTAACAAGCAGTAAGAGGTTATGATGTCAAAATGATGTTTAGTTTGGAAAATATTGCAAAATGTCCATTTGCTAGAACATTTATTCTTTGAGGGTCGCAGGGGCTGGTGCCAATCACAGCAGAAACCCTGTTGTCAGGGTAAATTTAGAGTTTTTAAAAATCGTTTATGGTGAGAAATTTGTGGAATCCTGGGAAAACAAATGTATTCCTAGAAAGTAATTATGTAGAAATCCTTGAACTCTAACAGATCATTTTGATTAGATGTTGTCTTCCTACCTGATCCTGTTATTGTTGAGTCTGAGAAAGTGTACGTTGGTCATCTCGTTGATGCCTGACGGCACAGTGATGAGCTGGTTGTGATCCAGACACAGCTCCACCATGGAGTTATATGAGCCGAAGAAGGACTCGGGTTCGATCCCTTCTCCATCCAGTTTGTTGTAGGAGAGGTAGAGATACTCCAAACCGGGGTCCATGTGGGCAAAGACGTAGCCTGTGGGGATGAAGGAAACTGTAATTGTGGGAGAACATGACGTGTTGTTTTTGTACAGTCTGCAACTGTGTAATCTTGATTCGAGCCTGTTAGATTTATTGGTTAAAACCGAGCCTTTTACAGACATATTAATATCTGTGTAATATGTGGTTCAACTGTAAAATATCAAAGTTCAATATCATTTCTTTGCCAGAAGTGTTTGATAGCATCAAATCTTTGCCACAATTGTTCTTAATTGAAAGAATTGACAAATGTATAGCTTTATTGGCACTGGCCCCCAAAACTCAGTCAAGCTGTTATCTGGTATGTTTTGTAGGGGAGTAATTTAATGTGGTGGAGGCGATAATGTTTATTTCGATTAATCTTTATATGATAATAAGAAGTCCACAGTAGAATCCAAACCTGCCTTTGCTCAAAATAGTATCCAAGTCTATAAATGTAGTTTCTCTTCTAGAGCCATTGTGAATTGCTGACTCCAGCTCCCCTCTTGCCCCCTTGCAGGCCTGCACATGTTGGTTTGTCCAGCTAACATTCCTCGTTGTTCTTTGTAAAGTGTTGGTTATCCTGCTCTGTTCAGGTGCAGTCGTAAAAATGGTTACTTCTATCTTTGTCCTTCTTATACTGTGATTGCAGCCAACCCCTGAAAGTACCTGGAACCTTGATTATCATTTCCTAAGCAATTTGGTTCCAGGAGCTCGTCACCAAAGCAGGAGGAGACCAGTGGAAACAAAACCAAAACCCTGACAGGAAATTTCTAAAATCGAATATACTGTGTGTTCAACACAGTATATTCGATTTTAGAAATTTCCTGCAGAGGAAATTTCCTATCATCTATTTCTTTGATTTACAGATGTCGTCATAGCAGATCATCCGACCACAAATCAAATATTTATCAAATACAGACATAAAAACAGCAGGTTTAAAATCCACTTGGAGTTCTTTTTGTGCCTCTAATAAATCCAAAGGTTGTTGAGTAAATCCTCCAAGTATCTACCAACACAACAAATCTGCTACATATTCTCATCCAGATGTTCATAAAGAGTTTCAACCGACCAGGTATCCTCTCGATGTTGTTTCCCACCAGCACTAGATGGATAAGCGATCTGGGCAAGTAGGACGGAACCAGGTAAAGGTGGTTATGTGAAAGATCGATGGACTCGAGATTTCTGCAGAGAAGGAAGATGAGGGGAGGATTAGTAGTAGTTGGGATAATAAGGTTTAACTAACTTATTTTTGGCCGTTCATTAAAACCTGAACATTCCTCTGTGGTTAGAGCTGACATTCGTAAATTGTACATTCCTGACACTCTGGAGGATCATGGGTAATTGTGACATGTCTTGCTTTGTCGGACCTGTGGTTGATCCAAGCCATCGGGGCGATTCTGGTCTCATCCAGCCGGTTGTGTCTCAGAGAAACCACGTTTAGACTTCTGGTCTGGTTGAAAACTGTCTCTGAGATTTCCTCAATCAGGTTGTTCTCCAAGTACAGCTCCTGTACAACAGGCAGACATGAGAAAAACAAAGTTACACAGGCTCATCTCAACAAGTATTTCTTATATCCAGATCCATATGTTAATTACAGAGAAGTTGGTGGAAAATCAAAGTTTTTTATGGAAAGTGATTAAATTCTTGTATCTGCCCTTCAACTGAATCTGCAAACCCTAAAATTTAATAGGTTTGTCCCTGGCCAAGTTTGGTAATGATGACTGGAATTCAGTGTCAGTATTATGGTTGGATTTTATTATCTCATTCATTTTAATTTTTTAATGAGACCAATGGGGTGTTTATGAGTTTGTAATTAAACAGCTGTTTTTTATTCTGTGGCTTAATGAGACAGTTTCAGGTCAAAGGTTATGCAACTGGATTCAGCTGCAGTTTTTGCTGGATGCTATCATGCTGAGTTTCTGCCTATTCAATCTGTAATCATATCATGTCATATCTATCATATCCCTCATCTTTCAATTAACATGCGTAGACTGGCTCTCATTAGAGTGCAAACCTCCGCCAAGCCCCAACAGTCTCCTTATGAAACCACCTTTAAATGCAGTAGATCTACATTTTTACTTTTCACCTGTTCCAAATTGCACACTCTTGTTAACAACGCCCTCACAGTGTTAAAGAAAGTGAAAAAACATTCCAGGATCCGCCTTCCGCTCTGGAGCTGCACTAAAATTTAATGGGTCCCTCCACAAAATGTCATGTTGCGTAATCCTGCTTACAAACAAACAGACAAAAACATTACCTCCTTGTTTACGAGTGTAAGTGTTTGAAAGTAACAAATACTAAAGGTAGACCTTGATCTCCAAATACTAATGACCACAAAGAGTTGTGGTATTTTGCATTTCCAGTGTGTAGAAACTGTCCAAAGTCATAACATGAAGTTGGTTTTAAGGTGGATTTACAGCAGCAGCATGTTGCTGGAGTTCTGCAGCATCTGTGGTTAACCAGAGGCCATAATTACAGGTTGGGCAGTCTGGTTTCCCACAGGTAGAGGTCGAGTTTACTCAGTGGAGTATACTCTTATGCCAAGAAGAAAATAGTGATGCATCAGCAAGTCTTAACGCTGCCAGTTCCTCAGACGGCCTCTGATGATGTGACTGAACCTGATGAGAGAGTTAATTAAGATTCATTTATTGAGCATTTCACCTTTTTCTACCAACTGCTGTCCAAAAAGCCCAGAGATTCTCAGGGCTCCTCTTTGACTGGCTGTTCACAACGTCAATCACATGTCCAGAGACATGAAAATGATATGTGGGCTTCGGTTTGTATCAGCCTGCCAGGATATTGATAGCCGCTCGGAAATTTATAGTCTATGTATATTTTTAAGAGTTCACAATGAGTCCAGCATACCAGCAGTGAAGCGGGAAGGCCCTGTGGTATGGTGCGGAAGTGGTTTCTGCCCAGTCTGAGGTAGGAGAGCTGGTTTAGCGAACTGAAGGCGAGAGGATCCACATTCCCCTCACTCAACAGATTTCCTTCCAGCTCCAGAATCACCAGGCTGCTCAGATCTTTAAAGATAAAACAAATATATAAAGCTCAACTGGAAATGTGTCCTGAAATCAATGTGGCAAGAAATATCTGTAAATGATGGGGGCAGAGGAAAAATGTTTAATTCAACAACAGCCTCCTGGCTCAATAAAACAAATTTTATGTAAAAAATAAATGATCTGTGACTCAGGAAACACACGGTGTGATAAATAATGGGCTAAAGGTTTGTCTCTTGCAGACAACTTTCAAAGTTGAGCTTCAAGGATCTTTTTTTAACTTTAACTCAACAAAAGCTGAAACCCTTCAAACAAATGCGAACTGAACTTTGGTTGTTCAGCTCACACCAACATTTAGTTTAGTTCATAAATGATCTCGGTGGTTGCTTTATTTCATTTTCAGACACGTAGTCGTCAAGTTATTGAGTGTAAATAACTGATGTCAGAGTATTTAGCGACATAAACACTGACGTCAGGTCCAATGCTGTATCAGTACCTTGGAAGCTGTTTTCATCCATCCCCCTCAGTGTGTTCTCATTGACCTTCAGCTCTTGCAGGGTTGGGGGGAGGTCAGAGGGCACGGCTTCCAGAAGGTTCCCGTCCAGGTAGAGACGTCTCAGCATCTTCAGACCCTGAGACAAACGAGTGGCAGGCAGATGTTGGCTTTTATTCTGAAGGGTAGCATTGGTTTAGAGTGCTAGTTCATCTTACTTTGAAGGCTTTGGCATCGATGCCGGCAGAGGTGAGTTTGTTTTTCTTCAGGTTGATCCATTCCAGGTTGGGGATGCCATTAAAGGCTCCTGCTGGGATGCTGCTGATGTTGTTACCTGCTCAGAACATTTTCAGTTAGTTTACAGTAAACACTGCAGTAGTCTCTCTGTCTCTTTAGTTTCTGTTTAACATATTTTTGAAGGTGTTTCTTAGTTTACTTGTGTTTTATTTATTCACATAATTTGTTCCCCTAATGAAAGAATTAGGTTTTAGTAGCAAGTTGCATTATTTTTACTCTTGGTTTTTAGTTCCTGGTTTTGCTGCAAGTCTACCTCATCTCAAAATCCAGGTTGCATCTCCTCATTAGTAGTTGGTGATAACCTCAATTTGTCATTTTAAAAATCATAGATATTGTTAATGCTGCATGGTGAAAACTGGCTGTCTGGTTAATGTCCTCCCTGCTATGGCTGAACTCAGCCAAAGATAATCTGTGAGGTGAACGCAGCAATAAAACTCCATAAATCACAATCATAAATAGAGCGTGTGTTTTTGTTGTCAGTCAGACCGTGTGATTAATACTGTTCTCTGGTGAAACGATTAGTTGATTGCGTCAGATCAGTGTGTGGAGTAAGAATCTCCTCTGAGTTTACAGATGTGACTGACGATGTTTGTGTGTGCAAGCAAGAACGAGAGAGAGAGAGCGAGTGAGTGGAATCAGTAAGTTCTGAATGAATGAATGAATGAATGAATGAATGCAAACAGCTATGAAGAAATATTTTTAGAATTTAAGAAGAATATGTCATTATGTGATAAGTGGTGATGTTGTGACCATAACTTCCTGTTGACGACTTGTGATCATTCTAGTTTAAAGTAGAACTCTATAAATATCAGTTCTGGGTAAAATAATGTGGAGTCTTTTTTGAAATGGTCGATTCTTCTTCGGGCTGCAGTGTTTCAGCTCCTCCTCGTGTTGTGGTGCGGACTTACCCTCCAGACTCAGAGATTTGAGCTCAGGTATGGACAGAGGAGGGAAGTGGAAGAGTTTGGCGTTCTCACATGTCACAGTGACATCAGAAATGACGCAGCCTGGAGGGAGGCTTCCTCTGTTCGTTAGCACTACCACCTCCCTCTCCTCCCCTTCCTCCTCCTCCTCCTCCTCCTCCTCCACTGCCTCCACTTCCTTCAGCTCGTCCTCTGTCGCAGCAGGGGGTCTTGGGATTGGAGCGGGGATGAGATCTGGTTCTTCTGGTTCTTTCGGGGGCATCTGAAAAACGTCTCCTCTCAGCCACACCTCCTCCTCTGCCTCCTCCAGATGCTCCTCTGCCTCCTCCAGGTGTTCCTCTGCCTCCTCCAGGTGCTCCTCTGCCTCCTCCTGGGTCTCTTCTGCCTCCTCGTGGTACTCCTCTAACTCCTCCTGGTGCCCCTCTTCCTCCTCCTCCACCAGAGCCAGAAGTTCCTTCCTCAGGATCTCCTCCTGCTTCCTCCTCTCCTCCTCTAGCTTCCTTTCCTTCTCCCTTGCTTCTCTCTCTGCTTCCTCCTTCTGCTTCCTGTCTTCTTCCTCCTGTCTCCGCCTCTCGTCCTCCTGCCTCTTCATCTCCTCTATCTGCTTTCTCCACTCCTCCTCCTCCTTCTCCACCTGCAACCTCAGGGTCTCCTCCTCCTTCCTCCTCCTCTCCTCCACTATCTTTCTCTGTTTCTCTTCCTGCTCCTTCCTCAGCTTCCTCCTCTTCTTCCTCGCCTCGTCCTTCTTCCTCAGGCGCTCCTCCTCCTCGCGGTGCTCCTCTTCCTCTCGCCAGAGGATTCGCTGGATCTCCTCCTGGGTCAGCGGGGTCACCGGCTCGCTGCGGTCACTGGGAACTGGAGAGTCACCAGAAAGGTCAAGGCTGAGGTCAGGGTCTAGGGCGGGTTTGGGGTGGTGCGGGGCGGCCAATCAGATGGCAGGAGGTGGTAGAAGGCAGGAGTTGTTCGAGAAGAAAGAAAAAGGTGACAGGAAAGAAAGAAGGAAGAAAAGGGGGATGGAAATAGGAGAGTAGAGAGAGACAGGAGAGGAAGAAGTAAATGTAGAAAAGATAACGGAAACTAAGGGAGAACGACAGATGAAAGTTGGCGACAACAGAGTGATAGTTGGACACACAGAGAGACAAGAGGTGGACAGACAGACGGCTGTGTGTTAGTGCTGTAGACAGACAGACGCCCACATTTGACCACACAGACAGGTACAAGTCCAGCTTGTTGAAGCTACAGAGCAGACGGCTGCTGTAGACCAGTCTGGATCAAATCCCACTAAACTGTACCTGTGGAGTCAGGTCAAGTTCATCTATTATTTATGGTTAATAGATAATAATAATATAAGCTGATGTTGGCGTTAGCTGCTACGGAATCTGAATGTAATGAATATACGTTTATTTAGCGATTAAAAAAATCAAATTGTATAATTTCTCATGATCATGGCCAAAGTTTTATAGATTAATAAACTGGATAAGTTATATAACCTGGTCACATCTGTTTAATAACCAAATTAAAAGGCTAAAAAATATAACTTAGCTATGACTTAGGTTTGAATAATTATTGGAAAAGATCTCGACACGAACATTTGTGTCTCAAAACCAGAAAATGATAAATCAAATATTTAAAATGACTCATTATTACAAGATTTTCTTCTTTTTTTTTCAACAATATTCTTACTTGAGACATTTCTGTTCAGATTCAAATTCAGATTTGGTTTTGAATGTCGATCTCTAGTCATCCGTGCGTTATCTCCCAACATACAGACATATTAAATGCATCACAACATGTGTGTTGACCGACCCAAAATGTGCTGAACACATTTTTAAAGCCATGATGGAAACCGACAGCAACATGCAGAGACCTCAGAGATGGAAAGTAAAAAAAAAAGTGTTTCATCCCAGAAATGTACGTTTTATGGTTTGATTCATTAACACTGACTCCTAACTCTACTACACTATCTGTACATTTTCCATCTCTGTTTCCTCTGGATGTTGCACCATGGCGTTGCCACATGTTGTGTTTCTACCTGGCTCCATGCAGACGGGGCAGCACTCCCCAGCAGGGGTGAAGGGGAAGTGGCAGTGCATTGTGGGACAGGTGATCTCGTCACAAACCACCCGCCCGCCGGTGCACAGACAAGTCACACACGGCTTCGGAGACCAGACGGCCTGGTCGAACATGGTCAGACCCTGGTACACACATTGGCCCTGCTTACCTAAAACAACACACACACATTACAGTCAGTTCAGTTTGTCGTGGTTTCAAATCTTTCAGTAAGTTGCACCGTGACCGCGGAGGAGGTAGAAGTTAATTGGCAACTGTTGATTATGAGCGTTTTCTAGATAAATCTTCAGCATGTAAAAATGAAATGCAGACATATTTTTCATCTGTGTTGTGTCAGTGGAGACAAGCATGATGTGGATAATATCTGAAACACAAAATAATATAAATCTGTTTTAAAACATTCATATACTGCCACAGCCAGAGGACACACATGGTTTTATTCATACGGTTGCATGGTCATAATATTTGGAGTGGCAGTGTGTGAGACGTCACCCACGTGGACACATGGCAAAGTTGAAGTGTTTCTGCAACACAACACATGTGGAAAGAATACGCTTGTCTTGTGTAAACGAAAGAATGAAGCCTGCCAGCGGTCACATGACACAGTTGATCAGACGTCGCAGTAAACTGAGTGGACTTTATGGATGTGAGTGAGGTAAAGATCCAGATGTGCTGCTGCTCCTCATTGAATGAAGCTCTTTTGTCATCCTGGAGCCTTATGTCATCGTGTCTTTACAATGCTGCAAAATATTAGTCTGGTTCAGTTTCATATTTAATGAGGTTTATTCATTGTTTACAGACCTGTTTAATCTGCACTGACTGTGGACGGCCCAGGACCCTCGATCATTACGTGATTAACAGATTGTAGGAGTCGATGGGATAAAGTAGTGGGGAGAATTTCTCCACCTCTCGATGAGCGTTTATTTACATCTTTTTCCAGCTACACAGAACTTCAGCAAAACATCCACATGGTGCAAATCAAATACAGTGTAAGCCCATTCAACACGTCTTTGGTGAATTCTGTCTATCACACACGTCCACTACAAGATAGATTATTGTCCCACGAACCGCAACTTGTCAAACAAAGAGAAACCCTTTTAGACACAAGGTATCAAGAGACAGAGAGAGCAGTAAGACATTCGGCTGTGATGGCGCCCCCTGGCTGCTATTTTTTAAAGAGTCAGGAAAACCTTCTTATTCACTTTGTCACAGTGTTTATTTTGGAGGGTATTTTGCCCTCACCAGTCAGAGGTGAGGATCATATCCACCCGTGACCTTTTGTGTTGAAAGTTATTGTTGTACAGTGACCTACACAAGATTAGGTCTCGTTTCTTGAGTCTTTGACTGAATGTGCCGACTTTGCAACTGAGGAAACAGCTGTTGACGACTTCAACACTAAACCTTTTTCAATCGCTGAGCAATTCAGAGAGGTGGGCGGTGACGCAGGGGTCCAGAACAAAGCAAATTCAATGCGGCAACCTGTGGGTCACAACGTGCCGACCCTTGTCATCCTCCTCAGCAGCAGCAGCAGCAGCAGCAGGCCCTGCTGCAGTAATTGCTGTGTAGGTCTAGTCGAATCTAAAGCTTGTACTTTAGCATCAGAACCAGACAAAGCAGTGATTTGTAGTGTTTCCACTCCTCCCTCTGCATTAACTTCACCTTTCAACATCAGACCTGGGCCGGGACGAGCTTGTGACTGGTAGTGAGTCAGTAAGAAAGACTGTAAACCACTATGATACAGCAGGAAGAGGCTCTTTGTGTCTAGTTTGAGTGTGTCCTGTCTGTCATCTATCCTTTCTAATGGTATGCTCTTTGTCACGTCTATAGGAAACACAGGTAGTTAAGAGGCTCAGGTTATTTCTCCTAAACACTGTCTCTATTATCTGGGTCGTCTTTACTGTGACTGTCACCCTGTCATCTCTGGAGCACACCTACTTTAAAGCTTTTCTTTTCTCTATAAAATATCGTCTTGCTGTCAGAGCTCTTGCTTTTCATAGTCTTGTAAATTGCAGGTTTTGTTCAAATAATATGGCGACCATCGAAATCAGCTGTGGTACGATCATCCTACAGTGTTGAGTGTATATTTTTACTTTGCTGTGAAACCATTTGACCTGCTGATTAATAGATTATAATAATAAAAGTATATATAATTATTATTTTTAATGCTAGGATTGTATACATATTTATTTTTTTTTTCAGTGTAAACTGAATATCTGTATATGTCGCAACAAAACAAAACTTTTAAAAGATGTCCCCCAGGTCTCTACGGACACTACGGAGCCCCCAACGTTTAAACTGAAATCTTTGACTCGTGTGTACAACATTACATTATTGTTATTATATTTGGTGGTATGACTCTGTTCTGCTCCCCCTCCCCCCCTGCCCTTCCACATGCATACATGGAAAGCCTGAGGTGGGGAGAGTCTATGCTTCCATGAGCCTCCATGGAAAGTGATGCAGAGAGAGCAGCAACTATAAGACCAGGGCTCTGAACAGACCAGTAGTAAGAGTCTGGAATATGAGCTCTGCCAAATTAATGCATAGGAGGAAGATCAGCTGAGCCGTTTTTCTTGAACCTTGTTTGAAATTCATCTTGACAAATGAATGGGTTCCACCCTTGACGACCCGTATGTGACCCGTCTCTTTGGCCGCGGACTAAACTCCACCTGCAGATGAACACTGAGATAAGGTAGAAAGCTCTGGAACGAAAAGCTTGTTTGTCGTTGGGAAATCAAAGCTGGTGACGACATGATCGCGAGGGAACTTTTCCACATTGAAGTATTGTTAAACGTTTAGGGAGTTGATTGGTTGCCATGGTGACTGGACAGACTTTTCACTTTCCACACAACAAAGCAAACAAAATATTTCCCGGTAGCGTCAGACGTCTCAGACGAAAAAATAGTCGTCGTGGTGCGACGTCTGTAAGTTTCTGTAAACTGAACTCCGGTCTGTTTGGTTGTTACACTTCAGTCAGTTTGTGTCTGCGACTCTGAACACAAAGCTGACATGCTCTCGTGTTTCAAACTGCAGTGAAAACAGAAACAAAGGGTTCTTATTTCCCAACAACATGCTGTGGCCACCAACTGTCTCATGCTGGTTTTATTGTTTGAAACTGAAAAGTTCCACGTGGCTCTGAGGTTCTCGTTCGCAGCCTCTGTCCTCATCTCTGTGTGGGGGTTTTTAGGACGTATTTTTCTGTCGAGCTCTTTTCCCTCAGATGGTTTTCCCTTCTGTTCTCGTCGGAATGTGATGATGTGACATTAAGTTACTGAGCTGTAATAACAAGCTCTTTCATTACGGGAGCAGGGCAAAGCCTCTCAGCTGAACTCTTCTCTGACTGCACTCAAACACTCAAATGTTTTATTCACTTTTTATTTTCACTGCTCTAAGATTTCATTGACTGGAAAAGTCTTGTGTCATTCATCACATCCTACAACACATCTCCATGTAGGTTCACACATCAACAGATATGCACACTAATTCATTTATCGAAATTAAAACTGTCTTTTCGAGGATTATTTTCTCGGATGTGAGAACTTTTCTCTAATTTATATCACTGACACTTGTTAATTGTTTCTGACTGTTACATGAATGAAATGATTTGTTGACTGGAAAATAATGGACTTTTGGAAATGGTGATGTAGCCGCACAGACCAACAGAACATAAGGAAATTCATTACCTCATTGTCATTGGAATGGAAAAGAAAACGAATCCAGCTTTTTAGATTTATCAGATTCAGATCATCAGATAGTTCAAGCTTCTCATGGGATCATTTCTTATTATTTATGAAGTGCTTTTAAGTTGTGAACATGTTTCACATGATGCTCAGAGGCAAGGGGAGTTTTTTTTTTAATACATATAAATATCCAAGAAACCATGAGGTGGACTGAGTCTGATCACCTGATTCTAAGTACTTTAAGATTTAAATTGTTGTCAGATCAGTGGATCCCACTGTCAGTAGACAGGTTTTTCTTTTAATTTGTCACGTTGAACGTCACAAACCTGTTTCAAATCAGAGTTAGTGAACAGTAGAGAGCAGCGTGGAGACCAGTCACCATCTTGTGCTCATTTTTTTAATCATTTATTTCTGTCTGCTCAAATTAAAAGCTGACTGAACGATGTTTAATGGTGAAGAGTCACAGAAGGTACCGACAGAGGCGCTGGGTTGATGTTAGCGTGTCCACCTCGTTGTCATGTTTCAATCACTGCCAATCAGAACTAAACTTAAACCTCTGGGTCGATGACCTGGGTTAAATCTGAGACACTGACCTGGGATAATGTTGTAGCTGGAGTGCTGCTCCTGAATGTTCTTGTAGGACTTCAGGAGCAGAGAGTGTCCTTGGTTGTCTCCTGGTTCTACTGGGACAGTGGGACCCGGGACCAGTCTGATCTTCAGAGGTCTGGAGCGTCCGGCTCTGGCCTCCCCATGACCTGCAACACATTGTGCTATCACTATTTATCTACATCATCGATCTAGAAACTTCTTTTTAGCACAAGCAGCTTCCATGCGTTCATATAAAATAAAAACAGAGGTGGCCCTGAGAGCAGGAGGTCGATCTGGTGTCATCAGAGGATTTTATGTCTGAAATCAAGGACAGAGCTCATGAGTTCAGGATCTTTGAGACGCTCCTCAAACAACGTCTCATCTTTACTTTTATGTTCTAATCTTTTCCCACATCAGCTCAACAAACCACATCATGTAAATCAGGGAGATTCGTGTTTCCATCCTTTGTGCTAAGCTTGGTGAAAATTCTCCTGGACTGTCCCGGACGCACAGAGACGAAGCTGATAACAGTCAAACAAACAGGAATATTTGCCAGATGTGTTTTTTTTTTTAAATGAAACTGAGTCTTACCCTGTCCATCCCTCTTCCTCTTCCCCCGGCGGATCTCGCCATCCTTGCGAGGTCTGTTCCTGGCCTGGGTGTCAGGGATGTTCAAGGCCACCAGGAGCCACACACTGGCCACCACCAGCCACCACCTCATCCCTGCAGAGCAGCACAGAAACTCTGAGCAACACTGAGACCTCGGCTGATAGAAAACATTGTTGATACAATTCTGAACGAGGTCCTGATACCAAAGATCTGCTGTTTTCAACCTCTTTCTTTCCACAAAACCTTTTTGTCTTTGGACAGAAGAAGCTCCTCAGAGTTAAATCGAGTCTAAAGACAAACACAAATAGTCACAGTCTCTGAAACTCTGCAATACAAACGCATTTCTCTCTGCACCCGGGAAGAAATGTGTTCAACACCCAACCCTGGACTGGATCCTCAGCAGGTTAATGCAACAGTTCATTCTGAGCATGAACCACAATATCCAAGCTTTGAGTCCAACTGGGGACCATTTGTTTCATGTCCCCATCTCCCTCCCCCCTCAGCACCACTCTGCTGTAGGAACCAGCAGATAAACAAGTGAAAGTCAACAAACAGATCCACGTTCTTTCTCCCCCCCGCAGAAAAACAGAACAGAAAGAGGTTTTTACCTGCAGCAGCTTCTCTGACAAAAGAGCTGTCACTGCTCGTCCTCATATAGCTGTCTGCTGGGGTCCTAATGGCTGGTTCCCTGCGTGTGTGTGCACGTGTGTGTGTGTGTGTGTGTGTGTGTGTGTGTAATGACTGGTCTATACGCTGCAGTCCTGTCATTATTAAAGCAGAGCTCTAACGCTAACACACACCTTCACACACCTGATAGTTGTGTCCTCTGAATGCAGCAGATTGAACCAGTTCTCTGTGTCGTCCACAATAACAGAAATAAATGTAGTGTTGCTGTGCCCCAGTGCATGATGGGAGTCGGTGGTGTTAAATCACAGGATTGTCTTGATTTGTTGGGTCGGTGCCCAGAACAGCTTGATGGAAACCCTCAGTTTTTTTGCGGCCGCTTGTTTATTTATTGCTGGATCTTGTCAGTCTGAAATCAGATAATGAGTTGTGCCAGTTGCAGCTTTTCACAGTGAACATAGTGGAACACATCTGGATCCAGATGTTTGAGGAGATCAACCAGAGATAAAAGGGGAGAGAACAATGGATTTGATGTTCATCATCAGTTGGAACGATGGTGTTGCTCCGTGTTTCTGGATGTGGAAACAGTTAGATGTGTATTAGCTCCCAGCTACTTGATCAGGTGTTAATAGGAGACCATGTGTTTACAACTTGTTCCGTCGCCCTCAGTGGCAAAACACACGAGTTAACATCTGTCATGTGGATCTAATAAGTACGTGCGTCTGTAAGAGCTGTTTTATATCATAGCTGCACACATCTCATCCACAGTCATTGACGTGTATTGGTCTCTTCTCTGCACAACTTTCCAATGCTAACATTGATAAAATGATTCATCGTGGTTTAAATTCTAAAGTTTTAGGGCAGTTAAAATGGCTGCATCGTTATTTTGTTCATATTTTTATTCATTATTATTTTTGTTTATTTGTATACAGCAGGAGTGTCTCCACAGTCAGAGCAACAGTGACACGCTAGAATTATCTGAACAGGAACGCTGCTCCCGGGGAACCGGAGTATGTCATGTACCAGAGTATGTCATGTACCAGAGTATGTCATGTACCAGAGTATGTCATGTATCACAGTATGTCATGTATCACAGTATGTCATGTACCACAGGTCAAGGTTCAGCTGTGACTGTGTTCCGGACCTTTGCTGCATGTCGTCCCCCGCTATTAGTATTTTTAAAGTATTAACTGTAAAGTGACGCCTTCCATTGTGGGAGTTCATCAGGGAGCTTTGCATGACATAATAATAAAGATAAATAGAGCAACAAGTGTTAGTGCACTGTACCGTAAATCCACACATGATGAAACAGGTGAGGTGTTAATGAAGCGCAGGATAAATGAATATCTACTAAAGCACTTCGATAGCTTTTACGCTAGGAAGAAAAACTACAGGTCCCATGATGTTTTTCCAGAGCACACGTTACACATCATGTAATAAGGAGGCTCTTATCCATGACAACCACCCACACGTTCTTAATCATTTACTTTTTATTTTCTTTGGATGGAACAAAACGAAAGTGTGCCGCTCCACAGACTGGACGTCTGAACAGCTCTGAGACCCTCCCTCCTCTATTCTCCACCAACCAATCAGAAGCTAGATATCAGAGAGAGAGGAAAGAAAACAGGAGGGAGGGAAGAGAAATGGAAAATATTCAGCACTTCAGTTTCTGGATGAGCAGGCTCAGACGGAGAGACTTCCAGCAGCAACAGTAGAAGATAAAAATAACCTGGAGACGTTCGTTAATGAAACACAGACAGTGCTGAAATCTGCAGCTTCTCTCTGCTGGTCTGTTTTCTTACTTAAGTATTTCACTTAATAACTGGACTGAAGAAAATTCAATGATTCAAAGTGACTTTTTATCCATGTAATCGTACATTTTTGTACATCGTGTTTGTCAAAGTGTGTTTTTGAGACGTGTCTGGTTTCATTTTTTCTAAGAAACTTCACTTCACGTCACAACATAAAGATTTTTTTTTCCAGACACAAATTGTGACTCAAGTTTGACTTAGTGAAGCTAAAAATTATGTCAAGTTTTAAATACCTGACAATCACAATTTATTCAACTTTTCCAAAACAAATCCAATTTAATTTTTAAACATCAGTCTGTCTATAGACTGAGAATCTGGAGACAAATGCTTTTTCCTTAGTGTCAAATGTGTCTCATTAAAACCAAACATAACAACAACAACCTAAACTGACAGAACACATCTTTTAGAAAAAAACATTTGTATATATGTATATTTTGAGTTTTTGTTAGTTTGGTCCATGTCCCACGTGTTAACATGGAAGAGGCAGGACATATGATTGATACTGCAGCCAGCCACCAGGGGGTGATCAAGCCTCTTCTGTCATCCTGTGTTTACTATGAACAGACCAGGATGAACCTGAAGAGAACTCTCCTTGTGTGATTTCAGTTGATGTCACTCAGGACAAACTTTACGTCCTGAAGGAAACAAGACGTCAGTCGACTGTTACTGATCCACAACCAACTAAACAACCAGCCTGACATCTCTCTGTCTTTCTCTGTCTCATCGTCCTCTGTGGACAGACTGATGACACTGAAGCTGAATCTCTGCTGAAAGCACCAAATCAGCTAAAACCTGAATAAAGATGTTTTCGCTCTGGTTCACTTCCTGCTCCCCCCATCTCCCCGAACGTCGCCTCGACTCGGCTCGTGTTGTGAAACGCAACAGAACATCATCAGGGAGCGGAGGGGGATTTTTGGGAGAGCTGCATCTAAATCAGTAAAAGTATCCTTGAAGTGAAAAAACAGTTTCTGTGCTGCGTTGAATGGACGAGACGTTAGATCCTGTTTGTCAAGGGTAAAAACGTTTAGGGTTTTTCTTTCTTTCTTTCCTCTGGATCTGTGAACGAGAACTGACACAGCTGTTGACAGATCATGAAAAGACGGACAGAGAGACAGACAGGGGGGAGGAGCTGGGGACAGACAGACAGACAGACATTAACTCTACATTACCAGCAGTTTGAAGGCGGCTGCAGGACTTGAGGCCAAATTTCTTCCAACCTCTTTTCTCTTCCTCTGGTTCTGCAGGAGCTCCAGGAGATGTGTGCGTGTGTTTGTGTGTGTGCGCGGTTGTGTCTCTGTGAGATGACACTGTAAGTGTGTGTGTGTGAGAGCCTTGGTGTGTCTCAGAGCGAGGAACAGTTGTGTAGAGCGTAGCAGGCTAACAGAGCTGTGAAGGAAAGCCAGGATATGTACTGCAGCTGAGACCAAGTGAAAGAGCCAGAGAGAGAGAGAGAGAGAGAGAGAGAGAGAGAGACAGGTCTGAGACATCTGTCTGCCTGTCCGAGGGAGGACACGGCCAACAGACTGCAGGGTAAACGAAGAAAGACGAAAAAGCAAACGAGCAGAAGTGAAATATCCACGTGTTGCAGAGCGGAGAGGAAAACACTGAGACGACTTTCACTTCAGTTACAGACGTCTCAGAACGAGGTGAAGGGGTAGGACGAAGGTCAGAGGTCACACGGGAATAAACATCCCGCTTCAATGTCAGAGAGAAAAAACAGTTTCCTGCTCAACAACATGTTTAAAGCCCAGAACGAAGAGGGATGAGAAGGCGACTGTTGAAATCTCGGTGTCTGAGCTCGTGCCTCCTCTAAGGCCTCTGATGAAACCACATTCAAATTCACTAGATCAAGATATTCATTAAGATCTGCAACAACTTTCCCACACTCACAAATATCAGTCCTTTAAAAACATCAGATTTTTTATCCATGAATTATCCACCGAGGAATTAACGAACATGTGAAAGTGCTCTGGATGTTTAAGAAAGTGAAAATAATTCCTGTATCTGTCTCCTCGTCCTGATCCACTTCAAACTTTGATGGATTCTTCATTGGTTCATGTCTCATCCCCAAATAATAAAAACAAATAAACATCTCATTTTATCAAACAGTATTTTTTTATTATTATGAAGATGTTACTCTGCTGATTCACGTAGTTAAAAGGTTTGATAGTAATTCTTTCATGGAGTGTGTGTGTGTGTGTGTGTGTGTGTGTGTGTGTGTGTGTGTGTGTGTGTGTGTGTGTGTGTGTGTGTGTGTGTGTGTGTGTGTGTGTGTGTGTGTGTGTGTGTGTGTGTTCTCATGATGAATAACAAAATGGAGACTCGGCTGTTTCCTGGTTCCCTCATGACTCATTATTGCACTTTGATGTGTCTGTACATGTGAAAGCTTGTGTTTAGTTTCACGAAGGAGACAAACAGAGTTCCAGTTATTAGACAGATGTTGTAGCGCCGCCCACAGGCCAAACCGTGAAGTTTCAAAGTAGATTAAAACAGCTGGAACAGGAATCAACTGTGAAACTGCAGGTCACAGGGAAAGTGACGGAATCACAAACTGGTCATTTGGTTCAGACTAAAATAAAAAGTCGGACATTTCCTTTCTTCTTCAACTTTTCATAGATTATAACTTGACTGAGTTACTTTAGTATATTTAACATGTCGACAGAAAGTCAGTGACGATGTTCAAACTTATTATAATGTGATTAAAACTCTTTTAAACTGTCGACAGGAGAAGTACCCGTCCGTCGTCTCTCTCCCTGGAGGCTGCAGGTCAGAGGTCATGACCTTGAATCACCCCGAGCTTCCTGGGTAAATAACCATCTCTTTAAACATCATGTAAATTCTTCGTATTTCATACACGTGACCCGTGTGCAGTTAAATCGAGTCTGTGTTTATATTCGTAGCTGCGTCCTGTCCATTCATTGGTCGGTGGAAGTTTCCAGAGAAGGTGGAGTCACTCCAAATATCTATCTGTTGCCAAAGATCCCAGAGAGAGGTGAGATGCTCCATTTCAAATCACAACCTGTTTTTTAGGTTTTGGATTATTGATTAGATAAAATAAATGTTTAGTAAAAGTAAAAATATCAAATCTTATAATTTATTCATCAACTCATCGTCAAAGAAGCTGCTGATTCATTTTCTATTGAAACTTCTGACATCAAATTACTGATTGTTACAAGTTATTTGAAATAAAAAAGTCTTCTGGTCACGTCCAAATGTAATTATCTGATCCAGGATCTGATTTTCTGTTTTTCTGTCTCTGCAGCGCTGCAGTTGTTTCCCTCTCAGGCTGTAGGTGGCGCTGCAGAGGCCTTCCAGAGCATGCTGAGGATTCTGGGACCTGAAGCTGCGGTGGAGTCTGTGATCAGGGCGGTCAGCCTCACACAGGACACGTAACTCACATTAGAGGCAGCAGTTAAAACAGAAAACTGTTTATTGACCATTGTTGTTACGTCCCAGACGTTCACAAAAAGATCTGCAGCAAATAATGACTTTAGTTTTAACGTTTGAGGGTTTTCGTTTTCATTTGACACTCACAGATCAGTAAACACACAGATCAGAAAACACACAGCGCCGGTTTAGTCTCTTAGAAATCTTTATTCAATAGAAAGAGCTCGGCGGTCACGGCTGTAACAGCAGAGCTCATTGGTCAAAATCTACAAAAATAAATAATTTAAATACAAAATGCCAAACAGCAGAGTCGCCTTTGTATTTTCAAATAGTTCTCTTCTCTCAGTTATTTACACACACGCCGTTAATCAGGAGTCTGTAGGTATCACAGTGCTGCGATGTTTCCACACCTCGACGCTCAGGCAGCAGCTGGAGGCAGAGACGACCGACCAATCAGAGCCCAGGTCACCTGACGGAGCTGCGTCTCTGTGAGGTCAGAGGTCTGGACACTTTGTTTTCTCTAGAAACTTAGTTTTATCTTTGCATTAAATCCCCGACGATGTTTTAAAATACCCAGAAAGTTGTTTAAGGTTCATTTACGGTTTCATTCTGCTGCCGTTGAAATACTGTCAGGAGTTTAGTTTCTTCCTCGGAAACAGCAGTTGACAAAAAGAACGTAACGTAAGATCCACAAAAGCTTTGTCTCGAGGTTTTTAGTTTGGTTTAGTTTGTTATTTTAGATCTTTTAAATCAACACATGAAAACTCTTCGGAGGCAGAAGAACGTCAAAGTTAGATATTTACATTTCAACAGATAAAGTCTGTGATTTAACCTTAATTTGTGATTTTGTCAAATGCTGTTTTGAGGATCCAGAATGAAACACGAAGTTCAGCAGGTATGTTTGTTTCCATTACTTGAACTCATAATAACCTTCTTGTGTATTGGTCTGGATTTGGAAATAAATCTTAAAAATCTTTTCTTTATCACAAAGTAGACCAAAAGTTTCTTTTTCCCTCTGAAATACTTTCAGAATGGTTGGAACTCAAATAACCATAACTGTTTGTTTTAAAGCTCGTCAGAGATTTATCTTTAAGAAAATGTGTTGTTTTTTTTATGTGGAAGTTACTGAAAGAGATGAAAACACAAAGGGAATCTTTTAAAGCTGCAACTATTTTGAAATATGTCATAAGATGATTCCCAAGTTTCCACTCCTTGTGTCTAAAGACACAATATAAGTCATTTTTATTTGATGCCACATTGACATGCAAACATTTCAGGGAGTTTGTATTTGAAATTTTTTATTATTTTTAACCAGCACCTGCAAAGTTTTTTGAGCGTTTGACCTAAAACTTTGCTTCGATAAATAAAATGCACTTGTGAACATAGAGGCCTCGTGTTGTTAAAGATAAATAAACTTCAATGTTGTCATATTATAAACGTATACTATATTTAACCCTCTGCAGTGAATCCTGTTGTAAACATTAGAATTCGTCCCACAACTTTAACTCTGTGACATTTTTGATCAAGTTTCAAAATAAGTCAAAGCAAACTCGCGTCTCCGTCAAACAGCTGCAGCCTAAACGTGTCCAGACCTCGGCTGCCTCGTCGCTCTGCCCGACGCGTCTTCATTTCAACAGTTACAACAATCAGTGGTTGGTTCAGTTCACTGTCGTTCACTCTCCAGCCTTCTAACCTCAGGCAGACGCTGAAATGCGGCCGCTGGGATTTCAGTCAAAAAAGATGGAGCTGAATCTAAAATCTGCTGATGTAGTGTTTGGGCCGAGCAGAGCCGCTGACAACACGTCTCACGCTGGGAGCAAAGTGGAGCGTGAGGGAGTTTCTGTCGTCTGAGGCTTCAGTCTTGTAGTGTGATTTGTTTTCAGACGTGTGGCTGATGGAGGCGACGGAGGCTGGAGAGTGGACACTGTGAACAGAGGAACTCAAGTCAAGTGTTACCAGTTTATCTGAAGCCTCCTCGAGCGCTGCTGGTTTCAGAGGACGACGAGAACACAAAGTTTCTACCTGACAACGAGAAGACTTGCGATAATCTGGACTAGAAAAGTCCCCCCCCCCCCAAAAAAAGACAACCCCCGTCAACAATCGTCAAACAGCTGTAACCTAGTGACAAGTCTCAACTCCAGGTGACGTCACTGTCCTCGGAAACCTCCCAGCGTCCCTGAACTCATCCTTGAGCTTCGGATCGTCAGGAATTCGAGGTACTGAGATTTCGAGGCTGCGTCCACAACCGCTGGTGTCAGACGACCTCTGACCTCAGCTGTGAACGCAGCCTGTAACAAAGTGAGTGTTTCAAAATACACACTCAACGCACTCACACACACGCGCGCGCACACACACAACTCTTGTCCTCCAGTCCTACCAGAACATTTAGGCACATTGACAAAATGGACACACAACAAGCCACTTATGGCACAACAACCAGCAGAGCAGCAGCATGACCATCGGCCCGCCTGCACTCTTTCCCAGCAGCCTCTGCTCTCGTTACAGTTTCACCCGCTCTACTTGAAAACCCTCTGTAGAGTCACATCAGTGAAAAGGAGACGGTCACAGTCACTGAGGATGACGACAGGCGATGACTCAGCTTCTTCCCCTGTTTCATCACTTTGTCTCATTAAGGGCTGAAACTAACAGTTATTATCAATTCATCAGATTATTTTCTTGATTCATTAAAATTGTTTAGTTTGAGAAATATTTAAAAAAAGACATTCCCAATATCTCAGGGTTTGCTTGAACCCTCGAAGCAACACTATGCAACTTTTACTGAACAACAGCGCCCCCTGCAGCCACACATGGATTC